GGGCGGGCACGTCACTCTCCGCCCTGTGAGGCACCTCTGTGTCCCTGGGGTGCCCGCCGTGCTTTCCCGGAGGGAAACTGCCCCCTTCGTCCCCGGCTTACAGCCGGTAGCGGCGTCGGGAGCCACCTCCCCGCCCCGGGGGAGGTTTCTGCCCTTTCCCGCCCTTCCGGCCGTGGGCCGGGCGGCGCCCTGCGGCCCTGTGGGCGCCTTCAGCCGCGCTGCGCGCTGCGCTGAGCGCCCAGCGGTGCCGAGGGCCTCGCGGGAGGAGGATCGGGGCCTTTGCTGGGTTGACTTTGTGAATCCCGCCCCTGGGTCCGCGGCTGCGCTCCGCTTGTGGGAACTAGGGGGCAGGGGCTCCTTAGCGCCGTGTGTCCTGCGCCCCTCGCTAGGCAGGGTTAGCCACGGGCGAGTTTTGTTGGCTCAGGTGGCATCTCGTGGGTGAGCTGCCCCTTGTGTGTAAAAGCGAGACCCGACTCCTAGGGCTGCTGGGGTGACTGCGCTGCAACGGGGCGTGGGCTGTCCTGTCTTATGTAAGGTTTAAGATAGTGAATCAAAAATGTGCCCTGGCATTGTCGTCTTAACCAGTGGTCTGAAGGCTGCTGCTTGGTCCACAGGTAGCTGAAGCATTAGCCAAAGGCAAGTAAAAAACCCCAAGCCCATTATCAGGATATTTATATTTGCTGTATAAAGATGTCCATCTCCAAACGTTAATTTACGGTGCACAAAATTGACAAGATTGAAAATCTGTGTGCATAAGCTGGGAATGTTAGGTAGCACCAAAGGCGATCGTTAATAAATGCACAAACAAAAAAACTGTAAGAAGACAAGCTGAGTGTAAACTCCTGTTCAGTGAACATAGTTCTTTCGGTTTTTTAGAAAAATGACACCTATTTTTAATTCTGTTTTTAGGAAGTATTCAAGATTAATTAACATGTCTTCCACCAAACCTCCAAATGAAAATGAAACACCCAAAGAGCGAAAACCAGGACTGAGGAATGTTCAAACAACTATGCTCTTAAAAAAACTGTGAACCCAGAGCTCTTCATTAAACCTGTAAGAGGGTCATTGTGGGAGAAACTAAATATGCTTGGAGAGACAAGGTCGCTTTAAAGTAATCATCACAATTCTGTGTCCATTATACAACCATCTCTTGTTATGCAAACACTCAGTAATGTAACTAAAAATATTTTTCCTTTTTTTCCACTCTGATTGTTAAGAGCCCAGAAATTTGCATTCACTGTTAGATTGTCTGATTCTTTCAGACCTAGCCAAGTTGCTTTCAGAAAGACTGTTTACAGGCATATTACCTCTGTAATTTGACAGATTAAGTAGTAGGAGCCTTCTTTAACATTTAAAAGGGAACAAATCATAAAATACAAGTTTTTTGATAGGAAAGGAGGGAATTTTCGGTAGCTTTTCAGTGTTTTTTATTCTTCTTTTTCTTGCTTTTATAGTTAAGTTAAAGATATTCAAGTTTTATTTACACTCGCAGAACTCAGCAAGACTGGATGAAATTTTGTGCATATAATAAAAGTAGATTTTGTGATGATAATACATGATCTGTTCTGGAGGAATATAATCAAGGTTGCTTGGCAGGAGCAGAGTGCAGTGTCCCAGTAGTATATCCAGATGAATTCTGTTAGAAATTTTTAATGGTTACCTTTAGTAATTGGTTTTGGCCTGTTCATTCATGCTCAAGCAGCGTTTGCAACCAGCAAAAGACAAAGCACTGGGCAATGTCTTCTTTCTCAAAGGGAATTCCTTTGGCTGTCAGAAAATCGAGTCTCCCTTCTTGCTGCTTATGAAAGTCGTTTGGATCAGTCTGCAAGAAGGCAGTGATGATTTTTGTAGATATCGCCATAGTTTACTGTTTGCTGTCTAAGGTAGGATAGAGGAACGTAATGTTTGTGTTGAATGAAAAATGTTTTGACTAATTTTTTTTTCTTGCCAGAACAAACCTGTGATGGCATTTGGTCTCGTGGCAATTACCCTCTGTGTGGCCTACCTTGGTTACTTGCACGCAACAGTAGAGAATAAGAAGGATCTCTATGAAGCAATCGACAGTGAGGGGTCCACGTATATGAGGAGGAAAACTTCCAAGTGGGACTGAGAATATAAGAATGAAAATCAGCAGATTAGTCACAGAACTTTTTAAGGCAATTATTTTTTTCTCTGTCCATTGAAATAATGGATAAATGTCTCTCTTGCTATTTAATCCAATTTAAGTTCCTTTATAAAATGCCATGCCTGTACAAATAAATGGCAATTAAGATACACGTGAACATAAAAATGATTTTAAGAATTGCTGTCTGCGATGTCCCCAGTGTGTCAGAAGACATGCAGTTAACTTGGACCTGCAGTCAAGACTGATAAATGCCTTAGAAATTTACGTGGTAGTTCTGCTCACTTCTCTCTTCACTTTGATTAAGTGAAAACAGGGGCTTGACTTGTTTTTTAAGCAGAAAGCATTATGTATTGTGTGTGAAAAGAAAAGGTTGATCTCTTGATCTATTGAAAGTTGATAATTAACAAGGAAAATAATTTTAAGGCAGGAAAGATCTGATAAAGCAGTCATTGAAGGGTTTTATTTAATAATGGAATTTGTAAAATACTGGCCAAAATAATCCTTGGATGTTAATACACTCTTCTTTACAAATGCAAAAAAAAAGATCAGTAGCTAGATCGAGGAGACAAACTGACGCGAGTGCTTCTGCCAAGAGAAAGGCAGGAAGAAGTCAGCTGTTACCTTCCTGTTTGGCATCATATAGCAGATCAGTGAACATACCAGCACGAGCTTGCCAATCGATGTGTGTAACTTGAGAGGCAACTAGGAAAGCTAAGGCCTCCTCGG